GCAAATTTGATACATTTTGTCGAATATCGTAACACATTAAAAATGTTTTTCTTTTGTTTACGGAATTATGTTCGCGTTGTCGTTATGTAGCTGGAGATTAATTTACGGTCAAAATTAGGTACTTGCCTCAATCAAAAATAAATTATTTCGACTGTTCAATACAATAAGATATAAAAAATAATCACACTTTCATTAGTTGATTTTATGTCCAACTTAATTTTAGTATTTTTCCAGCTAATTTTTAAGAAATAAGTATGCTGTTTGACGCTAAAAAAACGTGACGTCACAATACACAATCTCGTACAAAATTCATAGAAAACTGTCGTTTTTGACAGTTCGAAAAAAGTATTGAATTCGACTAGTCGGCAAGTACCCAATCATGAATTATCTCATCTTTTCTCGATTTTAATCCAAATATCTTTTTAGATTCTTCCAGAGTTCATGTATTAATATAATATGCCACTTTTTCTTCTGACAACGCGAACAAAACCGCGGTATATTACTATACAGTTCGATTGGATTAGTGTCTATACCATAATAGGCTCAAACAAAGATGACCTTTAATTTTTGACAACTTTTTCAGATTTTACAAGTCAATAATAATTGCATAAAACAAATAGATATGTGTAAAGATAGAGGATATGTTGCTTGTTGATTTTTGTACCTGATCCGTAAACCAACGGGTCCGGTCGGAGCCCCGGGTAGTTAATATCTGGCATTGGCGATTCTGTAATGGAGAAAGGATTGGGGATTAATAAGTTTGATAGATACCGATTAAAGTCATTGCACATCTAACAAGCACGGCTCCAACCCAGTAATTGACCGTGTTTCAAGAGTGTTACAAACAGGGTTGCCAATTTGTGGGGAATTCCCTAAACTGCGAGGAATTTCAAGTTGGTTGGGGATTTATTGGGGACTGGCATTATGTGGGGAAAATGTGGGGATTTTGACTTCATATTCTCATCGGAAAATGTTTCATCGTTTATTATCGATGATAACATTTTTGAATCATAAAGTATGAGGATGATATAAGGCTGGAGAAAGTATGGAAGATTTGAAAAAAGATTTGAAAATGTACCTCGTGCGGCTATTGTTTAGCATGAAAAACGCTGCGGGAGAATACCTGTTCTCAAACATAAAAATTGTTATTTCATTATTGCTGATATTGCCTTTATCAAATGCATCGAGTCGTCGAGAAGTCGAGCGCAAATTTAGTCTCCTTAAACATTTAATATAAAAGAAAAAATATAAATGATAAACAATAAATATTATTCAAATCATTGATTATAGTATCATTTTATAAAAAAAAAAAAACGTTTGAGGGGAATTTGTGGGGAATCAGCGGATTTTTATCCCCAAATTTGGGGAATTCGATCAGGATTTTTGGGGATTTTGATGAATTAGCTTTGGCAACACTGGTTACAAAATTAGTTAAACGGTTAGTGTTTATTGTAGACAATGGAAAATAAGGTAGGACTATCGTTAGGTTGCTGTGGACTGGTAAATTGGGAACTATGGATGACTATGGCACCAAAGTTCATATTTTTATGGGATAAGCCGGTAAACGAGCAGACGGATTACCTGGTGGTAAGCAATCGGCGTCGGCCATGGACACTTGGAACACCAGGGGCGTTACAAGTGCGTTACCGGCCTATTGGGGATAGGAATTTGAGGATTGTTGGGGACTCAGGGATAGGGAAAAGCGGCGAGGGGTAATTGGGCCTCCGGTAACCTCACTCACGCGACGAAACACAACGCAAACGTTGTTAGACATCGGTGTTTTGTGAAGCTGTGGTATAACTCCGGTCGAGCCGGCCGATTCGTGCCGAAGCATGGCTCTCACACACTTAATTTAACCTCTTATCTGTCGATGTACGATACACAATAGAAAACATTGTGTCACAGGTTAAACAACATTTAACAAATAAAGCTGAAGCATTCACTATTTCTATATATTTACTCAAAAAACCTATAAAAAGACAAAAATAGCAAAGAAAACATAAAAAAAAAAAGCTCAACTCACCGTCTTCCCGCATATACAGCATATACTCCGATAATGGAGAGTATGGTAGAAAGAGACGGCGATAGACTGGCCGCGCCGCCGTACCGAGCCGTGCCACACGCCGGCGGACACACCGGGATTATAGACTCTACAGACAAACATTATAACGTAACATGCGGTGGAAATGGCTTGGCATGCTATAAATTGCTTTATCATGCCATTTTTATAGTTTTCACTGGATATAATCACTGGAATGTTGCGATAATTTGGACATGTAGAAAAGATGGATGAAGGCAGATTTACGAAAAAATTATACAGAGCTGATATGAATATGAATATATAGGCATCAATACATAGTATAAAACAAAGTCGCTTTCGCTGTATGTCCGTATGTATGCTTAGATCTTTAAAACTTACGCAACGGATTTTGATGCGGTTTTTTTTATTAGATAGAGTGATTCTTAAGGAAGGTTTGTATGTATAATACATGCATATTGCACCCGTGCGAAGCCGGGGCGGGTCGCTAGTATAGAATAAAATAATATTTATTGTACACCAATTCGAGACAGTATATCGAGCTACAAAATCAAGAAAATAGGGTACAAAGGCGGCCTTATCGCTAAAAGCGACCTACCAGGCACCCTACATCGACTTATATCGACCAGATCGGCAATATATTTAAGAAGGGTCAAATTAAAAGTACCCTTAACCTAATCTTGACATGAAAGATATCTTACTAATATTATAAATCGGAAAGTGAGTTTGTTTGTTTGTTCCGATTTCACGCCGTAACTACCAAACCGATTGCTTAGAATTTTTGCAGACGGAAAGTTAGAAGTCTGGATTAAATAATAGGGTACTTTTTATCCCGGAAAAATTTGATATTCCCGAGGGAAAAAAAGTATTGGTATAGATGGCGGTGTGTGTGTTGGTATATGTCACATAGGCTACTTTTTATCCTTTTGTGACGCGAGCGAAGCCGCAGGTAAAAGCTAGTATTAACATACTACTATTTTAAAAATCCAATCCAATTTTTTTTATATAAACGTTGCATTAGGTTTTTCTCCGATATCGTGGATTCACATACACATCACACTCAGACCCGGAACAACAATTTGCGGATCGAATGCGGGAATCGAACCCGCGACGGTTTGGCAACCGGCTGCCGCGCAACACCAGCCACCGCACCAACCGTGCAATTCGAATAAGTAGCTAGTAATCAGTTAACTCAATAATATTTCTCGACCTACGATTTAAACAACTCAGTTTAATGTACCCCCTTTGACCAGCCGTAATGATTTAACTCGTCGAGTACCGGTTTTGTAGACACAATTATAGAACAATAGGTTGCGGTCACCGGTGACCGCTTGGTGTTTGACAGTTTAAAAAAAGTCATGATAAAGCAATTTCACAATATATTGCAACACAGATATAGGGAATGAATGAATAATTTTATGCATATAACACCATAAGCTATTTGGATGATAATAAGATAGTAATATTGAATGTAATAAAGAAAAACTATTGGCATTCGATAATAATTTAAACACTACATAAAAAATAACATCGTTTCTACTTGGCAACACTTGATGTTCAAATACCGAATTATTGAATACTAGACGGCGCAGATGTAGGAAGAGTTTTTAGTCCAATCACTGCAGCTGTCAAATATTGAACGCCCAATCGTGTGACACTGCTAATTCCTTATTGGTCGAAAAACGAGAGGTTCACACATCAGGGTGCTTATTCTTGAAACCAATTTCAATCATATAAAATCTCAATAGGCTATTTGAATTGTTTTTTTTTTATTCTGGTATATATTAGCTGAAAAACATCGAATTAAAAATTCAATATTTAAATAGTGTGCTAAAATGTTATTTTAACAATATGGCGCTGCAATGAGGTCGGTGACGTCACTTGCCTGTTGCCTGTGTTCTTATCTGTGGCATATACCTATATTTGTTTTGTATTTACAAGCAGGTGGCGTCATGATAAACTCGACCAATCAGGAGCGTTTTGTGTCACGTGACAAACGTTTAAAAAATGCAATTTCTATTAACGGATTTTTAAATAAATTAATTATTGTTTTCAACTTATGTTAATAAATAATCATTTTTTAACAGTAATTGACGTTTTATTTTTCGCATTGTCAAAAAGCCTATTATTCAATGTCAACACTATACAACCACTGTCATAGTTGTTAAAATAGCATTCAGCGTACGGAATATAAAGCTCAACTCAATACCATTTAGTTCATTTAATGTCTACGCAATACGGTTGCAATGGGCGCTAGTGTTGCAACTGAAGAGTACGAAATTTCACAATACCAATATCGATCGATGGGAATTGGATTCAAGAGTAAGCTTCCTATGCCTTTAGCCAAACGCCACTTTAGCGCTTATCTACCGAGAGAGTAGAAAACTAAATGTATGGGGATGACACTGACAAGTGTCAAAATTTGCGGCAATTCCATATAATTTGGTTTTCTATTCTATATGTAGACAAGCGCTAAATGGCATTTGGCTACAGCTGCTGGTCAGCAAAAATACGGTAGCCCCCATTGTAGACAAACAACGTTTACAATGTACTTCGCATATAATGTTGCCTAGTAGATACGAAGCTTAAAGACCATACAAAAAACAAAAATGAATGCTTTATCGTAATAACTATAGCATTTACATTAAAATATTCTATAAAAACGCACTCACCGACTAATTCGACTTGTCCCTCATCGGTTCCTAGTTTGTTCTGTGCCTTGCACTTGAACATACCGTACTGGCGTTTTTCTATGGTGATCACTCTGATTGTAGTGTCAGTGAACTCGTCCGCTGTCGCGAAATGAGAGATTCTGTGAACAAAAATGTGATTAGGGCAAGATTTCAATAAATAACCGATTACTTAGTCATTTTTCATTAGCTTTTATGTACTTTCTAAGAATATTTAGGCACCACTGTCGTAGCTCTGTCGGATTATTTTAAATTAAAACAGAAGACTGCACAATTAGTAGGTTTAATATTACAAAATATTACAAATCAGAATCAGGACCGGCGGCGCACCGACACAAAGAAATGCCCGAAAGCTTTGACGTGAGTTAGCGGCGTGTGTGGATGAAGAACCGTGGCGCTCGCGCGGCCGTGGGTTTTTATACCCCCGTCCCACGCGTCGCCGCCTCTATGGTCGATGGCCATACTAATGCGCCGACACCACTGACCAACAGTGAAGGAAAACATCGCGAGGTAACCTGGGCTTCTAATTTCTAATTATAAGTTTGAAATTGTGACTAAGAAAGAAGAAAGAATGAAAACCATTTATTTCTGCGCAGAACACACATAAAATTTAAAATCTACAATAAATAAAATAATAGGAAGCGAAGATAAACATAAAATAATATAAAACTTAACATACCTAGATTCAAATAAAATGAAGTCTTGTCCATGGTCCACAGACAGAGTGAATTGCTATGTAATTATTACTATTATCTGTGGACCATAAGTAAAGAACATTTTTACTCTACTTCATTAATTAGTTTTATAAGTTACCGATTTACAAATAAATAATTGTTTTGCGACATTAAAAACAATATGAAGACTAAACCACCCCGTTCCTACTCCTGCACTTCGAGCCGACGAGTACTACCGTCACTATAGACACAATTATAGAACAATAGGTTGCGGTCACCGGTGACCGCTTGGTGTTTGACAGTTTAACCCGTTAAGTCCTCCGCGGCATCATCCGTATCGGCGTCATCATCCTTATTGGGTCCCATCCGTGGTGGTCTGATGGCTCTTTGTGTCGCGCGGAACGCTCGGGTCTGGGTGCTTACTCTTGAAACCAATCTCAATGTCAATGCAATTTCAATCCAATAAAATCTCAATAATTATCCGTCAAAACTATACAACCCCTATCGTAGCTGCTAAAGTAGCATTTAAAGTACGGAATATAAAACCAAACTCAATACCATTTAGTTCTTGAAATATCCACGCAATATGGATGCAAAAGGCGCTAGTGTTACAACTCAAGAGTACGAAATTTCACAATGTCAATGTCGATCGATCGGAATTGGATTCAAGAGTAAGCCCCCTGGTTCTGGTCGGGCGGCGAGGTACCCATGCTCGCCGTCCGCAGACCCAAAATATCACGCTTCGAGTAATAGGCGCCGGGCAGAACGGGTAATATCGCGAAAAAGTAGCTAGTTTCTATATAAATTACCTGTAATGCTGGTTATTGGAGAGTTGCACTTCATCCTTTAGCCATGTAATAGCAGGTGGAGGGTAGGCTTCCACGTGGCATTCCAGGTCCATGTCGTATTGGAGAGCCTGGAACATTAATTTAACAATATTCATTTATTTGGTTTTAATAACTACTTTTGTGACTGCCGCCAGAGTGGAGTGGTCGCAAGTGTGACTTCGGTCGAGCCGGCCCGTTCGTGCCGAAGCATGGCTCTCCCATATTTAAAAACCTACACGAATATGCCTACAAAATATTAATATAACCAACCTGAGCCAATCTCGGTCTAGGGACGGTGACGACAGGAGCGAACTCGACCTCCAAGTTGATATTTCTCCTCGCTCCCTTACCGACTCCGTTCTCAGCCACGCAGTAGTACGTACCACGGTCTTCCTTGTGTACAGCTGCTATTTTTAGAATGTTGCCTCTGAAATGCATGAAAGAATTTTGGTATTACTATCTGCTGTCTAAAAGGAGATGGCGGGACGAATTAGACATCTATGACTAGGATTGGCCGCAAAAAGCTTTACAAAAAGAGGAGTGGAAGGAGGGTAGGGTGGCCTTTGCCCTTTTTTTTTAAGGGGGGAAAATCATCGAATGAATGCTCCCGCCTGTGTGAGGCGGGAGGGAGTGTCAGACTCTTACTGACTAAAAACCACCCCGTTCTTTCTCCTGCACGGCGAGCCGGAGCCCCGGTTACCCTTTAGTGGCCTTTGTCCTGCAGTGGGACGATCATGGCTAAAAATAAATAAATAAATCTATTGCCCGCAGGTTCGTCCGTGTAAAATATGATTCCTATTTTATCCCATGGGAGCATTTGATTGGGATAAAATGTCCTATCCGATGAAATATAACGTTGTGTTGGTCTCCCGCCATAAAGCCTCGTACACAAAACTGCGAAACGACGTCGCATCGCAAGAACTTGCGAATTGATTCGCATCGCGCATCAATATCTTATCTTCTCAAAATCTTCTTTGTTTCTATTTCCTGTATCTCCTAATATAAGCAATAACAAAAGTGCACTCTTCTTTTACGTACCATGTCACGACCTAGTTTTTAATTTACGGTTGACGGTCGTCGAAGGAATGGTCACCCTGGGAGATGCCTTGTCGCACGAAAGCGCATCGCAGCAATTCGCATCGCATTGTTGAACTCTCACTCCAGTCGAGTATAATCATGGCGAAACATGACGCTCCCAGGTGACGAAACAACATACTCAAATAAATTAATGTAATTATTACCGGTAGATGGAGCCACCAGTAGGAAGGATGGCATTGTTCTCACGACGCCAAGAGATCTTCGGGGGCGGGAATCCACCAGCGTAGCACTCCATCTGCACGCCTATTGAACATAAAAATACATTAATGAGCTATGCCTGAGGTAGTGAATTTTAGCCGTGTGCTGACAGCATAGATACATTTGTCACCACCCGTGTTCTTGCTGTGGGTATCTTACACCCGATTAACAGATAACCAAGCCGACTTTTTTTTAAGGGGAAAGAATCATCGAATGACTTCTCCCGCCTGGGTGAGGCGGGAGGGAGTGTTAAGCTTTTACTGACTAAAAACCACCTCGTTCCTACTCTTGCCGTTCGCGCCGGAGCCCCGTAACCCATTAAGTCCTCCGCGGCTAACCAACCAGGTGGAGTACATTTGTGCATAATCTATGCATAATCTTCCAGCAGGTGTCATACTCGAATAAGGGATACAACTCCTACTCCAACACATCTGTCAACAGCAACCAAGTCATCTTCAGTTGGATGTGGGATACATACAGTAGAGTACAAATTTCACAAAGACTGGGCAGAAATGTATGAATAGTTTGTCGTGTCGCGGGTTCGATTCTCGCAAGAAGCAACTCTTTGTGTGATCCACAAATTGTTGTTGAGTCTGGGTGTCAATGTCATGTACTGCACAGGAGAAAAATTCTAGTGGGGCAATATTTAAAAAAATAATAAAAAATAAAAAAATAGTCCTTTGTTCACAGCAGAGTAGACCTTTTATCTGTTGAAACACATTATGGCCGCTACTTTCAATAGACAAGAGGATAAACATCGCTTTTCTTCCCGCGGTGTACACTGTACCCGACTAAGATGACTTTATCTAATGATGATGATGATATCCAATACTCACTCTCTCCTTCGCTGGCGACCAGTGACCGGGTGGAGTTGTCGGAGATGATAGGTGGGCGTCTGACTTGGAGTTCCACTTCCGCTGTGATCTTGTTACTGATTGACATCAGCACTTGGCATTGATACCAACCTGCATCATTTTCTTGGATGTCTTTAATCTGTTGGTAAACAATCATACAATTAAATGAATTAATTCCATAAACAGAGTAAAGATTATTAAAATATATTTAAAAAGTATATACTATATAATTTAAATGAGTGCCTCGTTGGTCGAGTGGTCGCAAGTGCAACTGCCGGGCAAGGGGTCTCGTGTTCGATTCCCTAGTAAGGCTGGGTTACTGGGTTTTTCTCAGTAGTAGCACGGAGTCTGCAAATCTGCCCAGTATATGGTAATAGGCTCACCCTCTATTACATGGAACTCGTAACATAAATAGTAAAAAGTGGGTGTTACATTGTTCATTGGCATAATGTGCACCTCTGCCTACCCCTTCGGGGACAAAAGGTGTGATGTTATGTTATGTAAAAATGTCATTCTATTGGTCAGTCCTCTAGTGGAGCTATTTGCTCGTTCCAAAATGTAGATTCCTATGGAGAAGAACAAGCAAGAAGCAAGAAGAAGAAGTAGGTTAGAGTCACTAGAGTTCAAATGCTAATGAAACTAGTCTTTGACCAATAGAAATTCGTTGAAGGCAAATCCTCTGCTAACGCCAGACACAAATGACGTCCATGGCCTTTAACATGTTAATTAGCATTATATAATTGTAGATAGCATCATCACTACCACCAGGGCGAGATAGTGGTCAAACGTCGGCTTATCCTTACTAATATTATAAATCGGAAAGTGAGTTTGTTTGTTTGTTTGTTCCCCTTTCACGCCGTAACTACTAAACCGATTGCTTTGAATTTTTGCAAACGTAAAGTTAGATATTATTAGATTAAATAATAGGGTACTTTTTATCCCGGAAATATGTGATATTCTCGAGGAAAAACGAAATCATTGGTATAGATGGCGCTGTGTGTATATATCAGATAGGCTACTTTTTATCCATTTGTGACGCGAGCGAAGCCGCGGGTAAAAGCTAGTCAAATATATATAAAAAAAAAACTTATACTACTAATAGGTACTTACCGAGAGTGTGAATGTAGCAGTAGCGTCATCGTATCTGAGCGAGAAGCGGGAGTCCTTGATGATGAGACCAGCGTTCGTGGACAGCGGGATGGACTCCACTGTCTTGAAACGATCGTATTTTACCTGTGGAAGGCATGAATTGTATTATTAATGTTGTGTTAAAATTTTTTCTTATCGAGGTAAGCAGAGCAGTATTTTTGTGGCAATAGTATAAAATATACCAATTGTGGAAGAGACATGATTCGGTACGAATGGGCCGTCTAGGTTGCCCTCAGAGACGTGATCGGCGATGGCGACCTCTCGCGTCCGGCCCTAGTGCGGGTCATGATGCGGAGCGGGAGGGACTGGGATGCCGTCTCCTCCTTTTGAGAAGCAGTCATGCTAGCTAAGAAGGAGGCGGGACGCGAGGCAGCGAAGCGCTGTCTCCTCACAATCCAGCCATCGCGAAGGATACTCAGGGGGTCGGAGATTGCAGGATGATCTCCAGCGACCGTAAGCACGGGCCTGCGGACAGCGAGCATGGGTGACTCGCCGCACCAGAACCAGGCCCGAGCGTACGGCGCGTCGCGTTCCGCGCGCGCCTCAAGGACCACCACGCACGGATGGGGCCGAATAGGGCTGATGCCGATACGGAGCCACGGAAGACTTAATGGGTTGCCGTGGCCCGTCTAGGTGAGGCGGGAGGGAGTGTCAGACTCTTACTGACTAAAACCACTCCGTTCCTACTCCTGCACTTCGAGCCGGAGCCCCGGTAACCCGTTAGGTTACGACTTCTTTCAAGGAATAGGAGGCAAGTGAGCAGACGAATCACCTGGTGGTAAGCGATCGGCGCCGCCCATGGACACCCGCAACACCAGAGGAGTCACTGGTGTGTTGTAGCCTTTTAAAAATGAATTTTGAACTATTTATTTTTATTACTTGTTTTAGGTAGGTATAGTATAAACAACTTTGGAAATAACTTATGCATTTATTATGACCAAATCGTGGTGGTTCAGAGGCCTAAGACGACCGCTTCTCATGCATAAGGGTGCGGGTTCGAAACCTACCAACAGCAAGTACCAATGTGACTTTTTCCGAGTTATATGTTCTTTCTAAGATTATTTATATTCAGACACCACTGACAAACGGTGAAGGAAAGCATCGCTTTATAATTTCTAATTATAAGTTTGAAATCGCCAACCCGCATTGAGCAAGCGTGGTGAATAATGCTTAAGCCTTCTCCGTTTGGTCAGTCAGCAGACCAAATACATGGTCAATGCATTTCATTTTAAACTCATTATAAAAAAAAACAATTTTACGATAGTACTTTAACACTTTTCTATGTTTAAATAATCGTGAAAATAAACATTCAGAAACAGATTTAAACGAATATAATGATTATAATTCCATAATGACAAAAACAAGATGTTACATATTAAACGCTAAGTCCTTGATACAATCAGAATCACTTTACCGTGAATATTTATGTTGATATTTATAGAACAACTTAATATTGTAGGTACGGTATACCACCACCCGTGCTCTTCCCGTGGGTATCGTATACCCGACTAATATACACATTATGTTTATGTATATAACAATTTAAACCCCTCTGTACAAACTATAGATGCATTAAAGTGATTTGATTTGACTAAAGTGACTAGGTACACATTTTTTATATTTCATGGGACGACGTTTAACCCGTATCTCGCCTGGTAGTAACCGATGATGCGGTCTACGATGGAGCACGTCGTCCCATAAGCAACCTATTCACTCTGGCCTTGAAGACATCCAGGTTAACAAAGACCGCGAGCAGCAGCACTCTTTGATAAACCAGAACCTTTTAAACTGTGACCTCACACCGCCAAAAATGGATACTATGGCAAACTTCTACGGTGGAACACACTTTAGTAGAATGCCCTGCGTGGGCCTAGCACCGCCGTGCCCTCAGGGACGTGATCGGCGATGGCGACCTCTCGCTTCCGGCCCTAGTGCGGGTCATGATGCGGAGCGAGGGGGACTGGGATGCCGTCTCCTCCTTTTGCGAAGCAGTCATGCTAGCTAAGGATGAAGCGGGACGCGTGAGGCAGCGAAGTGCTGCCTCCTCGCAACCCAGCCATCGCGAACACTCCGGGCGTCGGGGATCGCAGGGCGATCTCCGGCCACTGTAAGCGCGGGCCTGCGAACGACGAGCATGGGGGGGCTCGCCGCCCGACCAGAAACAGACCCGAGCGTGCGGCGCGTCGCGTTCCGCGCGCGCCTCAAAGAGCCATCAGACCACCGCAGATGGGGCCCAATAGGGCCGATGCCGATTCTGAGTCGCGGAGAACCTAACGGGTAACCGGGGCTCCGGCTCGAAGAGCAGGAGAAGGAACGGGGTGGTTTTTAGTCAGTAAGAGTCTGCAGAAGAGAGAGAAAGCAAAGTGTCAGAACACTCCCTTCCGCCTCACCCAGGCGGAAGGGAGTGTTCCACCCTTAAAAAAAATTGCAAACCTCTTCTGCAGAGGAGGCCCATTACACAGTAGTGAACTATTACGACATAATGGCATAAACAAGATGTTACGAATTAAACAAGTATGTCCTTGATACAATCAGAATCACTTTACCTCTAATACCTACATGTTGCTATTAATAGAACTAGTATTTCAGTATTTGTATACGAATTCCGTAGGTTTTTCTAAGACTTGTAAAATCAAGTGTAGGAGAGTCATGCTTCGGCACGAATGGGCCGGCTCGACCGGAGTGATACCACGGCCGAGCAGAAAACCGACGTGAAGCAATGCTTGCGTTGTGTTTCGTCGTGTGTGTGAGGTTATGGGAGGCCCAATTACCTCCCTCAATCCCTGAATCCCTAACATTCTTCAAAATCCTAAAAGGCCGGTAACAGACTTGTAGCGCCTCTGGTGTTCCAGGTGTCCATGGGCGTCGTCGATTGCTTACCATCAGGGGGAGCTGCTCGTTTACCGGCTTATGCAATAAAAAAAATCCTTACTATCCTTACTAATATTATAAATCGGAAAGTGAGTTTGTTTGTTTGTTCCGCTTTCACGCTGTAACCACTAAACCGATTGCTTTGAATTTTTACAGACATAAAGTTAGAAGTCCGGATTAAATAATAGTACTTTTTATCCCGATAAAATTTGATATTCCCGAGGGAAATCAAAATTATTGGTATAGATGGCGCTGTGTGTATTGGTATATGTCATATAGGCTACTTTTATCCTTTTGTGACGCGAGCGAAGCCGCGGGTAAAAGCTAGTACAGGATAAACTTAGAACCTCTTCCCTTTTTTGAAGTCGGTTAAAAAAATCTTGATCACCTCATTTTAAAAAATGCGTGATATTTAGAAGACAGAGACTGCCTCATTGGCCGAGTGGTCGCAAGTGCGACTGCCGGACAAGGGGTCTCGGGTTCGATTCCCGGGTCGGGCAAACTATTACTGGGTTTTAAAAAATTCTCAGTAGTAGCACGGAGTCTGGAAATGTGCCCGGTATATGGCAATACTTTTACCTTCTATAATATGGGACACAACATAAATAGTGAAAAGTGGGTGTTCCATTGTACAGTGGCATAATGTGCATCTCTGTGGCGTGATGTTATGTAATTTTCGAGACAGATAATTATTATGAACTAATTAGGTACTAGCTGACCTGCGACGCGGCGATTGTCGCGCTGCTACTCGTGAGTAAGCCGAAAACAAAATAACTTATTTAGTATGTCTCACGAAGGTTATAATACCTCCATTTTGAAGTTGGTTAAAATGACCAGTATGTTTTTGTTTAACGGTAGATAGTCCCATTGTTTTGAAACCAGTAAGTTCTAGTACAATGGCTAGGGATCTCTAAAACTAAACTAGAATGATTGTCTCACTACTTCGCGTAGAAAATCAATGTAAATAAATATTAGGACTTTAGTCACTATACGCATATTGCGACGAGAAGTTGTGTGCTCGAAATCACAATTACTATGTGAGTATCCATTTTATTTTATTTGTGTATAACAAGCTTTGGCCTGCGGCTTCGCATGATTTTATGCTTGAAAACCTTTCTTTTGAATTACTCGTAACTATTAAACTATAAGTGTGGGAGAGCCATGCTTCGGCACGAATGGACCGGCTCGACCGGAGTGATACCACGGCCTCACAGAAAACCGACGTGAAGCAACGCTTGCGTTGTGTTTCGTCGTGTGAGTGAGGTTATCGGAGGCCTAATTACCTCATTCCCCAGTCTACCCAATCCCCTATAATCCTCAAATTCCTAATCCCCAAAAGGCCGGTAACGCACCTGTAATGCCTTTGGTGTTCCAGGTGTCCATGGGCGACGCCGATTGCTTACCATCAGGTGATCTGTCAGCTCGTTTACTTATCTCATAAAAAAATTTTAAAAACCGCATCAAAATCCGTTGAGCAGTTCTGAAGATACAAACATACATAGTGAGTGATAGACAGTCAGAAAGCGACATTGATGCTAAGTATATTAATGATATGTTTGTCATCAGTATCCTCTGCATAAGAGTCTAATCTACATAAGAGGGTTTTGCGATAACCTGTACTCTTGACAGGCGGGCTGGAGATTGTAGCTGTTTTTAAAATTAATAATAATAGTTAATTAAAATAATAAGTATTGGAGTGCAATATTAAATTGGTATGTAAGTAGCTATTACCTCTATAGTACATGATATTATTTTAGTGTAAGTATTGAAAATAATATACGTAAAAATAATATTAATGATTCCTATTATTTTGTAAGTAGAGTATTTTTTAGGTGCCCAAAAGGGCCTATAGTTTGAACACATTACTTCACGCCTGTCTCCCATAGGGGTTGGCAGAGACTATGGAATGCCAATTACTACGATTCCTACATATCTCTTTTGCTTCATCAACAGTCATCAATCTTTTCATGCATGCTCGTTGGTTAGTACCCGACTTTTAATTTGGTCCTTCTTTAATATATCGCCAATCTGATCAGTATATGTCTGTCTAGGGCGCCCTCTACCGACGGCCCTAATTATATCCGCTCTGTATACTTCTTTGGTTACTCTACTTTCATCCATCCTCTCTAATTTTGTATAATTACAAAAAATAGTCTCTAGTTTTGTGTATTAATATTTTAATAAAGGTATCTTTATTATGCAGTACCTATTAATTATCCATTCTTCTATATGAACTAACTATTAAGGTAACTTCCCAATTGGTCTCGTAATTACGATTACAAAACCAATGAGGCATTCTATGTATTGTTTCATCATAAGTATTTATTAAAATTTTGAGATCTTATTGCTTGCAAACAATGGTTGATTAACTTGCAGACATAGGATGATATATAAGGATAAAGTAATAATTTAAAGTACGATAAATATAGGCATGTTTTTACATACATACTTTTTATAAGCTTGCGCCTTTGTGCCATGATAGATAGAAACCACAGAGCGCCACCTACTACGCTCCTTACATACTTCTTTAGCTTCCATCACATTCATACATCTGATGGTATACAGAAACTACAGAGCGCCACCTACTACGCTCCTTACATACTTCTTCAGCTTCCATCACATTCATGCATCTGATGGTATACAGAAACTACAGAGCGCCACCTACTACGCTCCTTACCTACATACTTTTTAGCTTCCATCACATTCATACATCAGATGGTATACAGAAACTACAGAGCGCCACCTACTACGCTCTCTACATACTTCTTTAGGTGCCATCACATTCATACATCCGAGGGTATACAGAAACTACAGAGCGCCACCTACTACGCTCCTTACATACTTCTTTAGCTTCCATCACATTCATGCACAAAATATTTGGAAAAGTTTCATTAAAATATCTCTCTAAAAGGTCTCCAATAATTAAATACCTATAGTGTTACCAGTTTTCTTCTGGTGGCATCATCATAAACACACTCATTGCATCGAAAACTCCCAAAATCTGTTTATACAAAAATAGTCTCCAAACATCAGAAATAAGGTCCATAATGGAGGTAGTCGAGGGCAGTCACCGGTGAGCACTCGGGGATTGATCAGGGTGCTTCCTCTTGAAACTAAGCTCAATGTCAATGCAATTTCAATCCAATAAAATCTCAATAATTGTTAATGTCAAAACTATACAACCCCAATTGTATCTGTTAAAATAGTATGCAGAGTACAGAATATAAAGTCAAACTCAATACCGTTTAGTTCATTCAAGATCCACGCAATACGGATGCAATGGGCGCTAGTGTTTCAACTCAAGAATACGAAATTACACAATACTAAAGTCGATTGATCGGAATTGGATTCAAGAGTAAGTAAGGGTCCAGTTGTCTTTTTATGATGATAATAATTGCGTACTTGGCAACTAGTGAAATTGAATACTTTTTTCGAACTGTCTAAAACGACAGTTTTCTATGAATTTTGTACGAGATTGTGTATTGTGACGTCACGTTTTTTTAGCGTCAAACAGCGTACTCATTTCTTAAAAATTAGCTGGAAAAATACTAAAATTAACTCGTCGAGTATCGTCATTATAGACACAATTATAGAACAATAGGTTGCGGTCACCGGTGACCGCTTGGTGTTTGACAGTTTAAGTTGGACATTTATTTTTTAATATTTTATTGTATTGAAGTTGAACAGTCGAAATAATTAATTTTTGATTAACTCGTCGAGTACCGGTTTTGTAGACACAATTATAGAACAATAGGTTGCGGTCACCGGTGACCGCTTGGTGTTTGACAGTTTAAGGAATGTATCCAATTGTCAAATTACTCTAGTTTCTATGTTAGTGGTTGGTTTAAAAATTCAATTTCAACATGCTGCTTACCCATATCACAGGGAAGTCCTGAGCGTAGTGCACAGAGCAGTCCAAGTCAACTTGACCTCCAATATCTCTGATCTGCTCCTGTGTGATATGCGATATGGTCGGTGTTCTTTGTCCTGATGCTGGAACAATAGATAATAGTTCGTTAAAAAAAGTACTTGTTAGTGTGCATTTTGGTGATACAATAGGTCTTACATTTATTATTATAGTAATGCAAGAACCTGCCCATTAGGCATACACTATTTAAAAGTTATGACATAAGTAATACTACCTCATTGGCAGAGTGGTTGCAAGTGCTACTGGGTAAGAGGTATCGGGTTCCATTCCCAGGTTGGGCAAAGTATTACTGGGTTTGTTAAAAAAATCTCAGTAGTAGCATGCAGTCTGGAAATGTGCCCGGTATACTTATGGCAATAGGTGTCCCCTATTACATAGGACTCATAACATAAAATAGTGAAAAGTGGGTGTTACATTGTACAGTGGCATTAAGAGTCGTAAATTGTGCTCTTCTGCCTACCCCTTGAGGGATAAAAGGCGTGAAGTTATGTTATGTTATTTAAAAGTATAAAAAATTGTAATAAATTATCATACGTAATCAAATAAAAATAAAAACAAAATAAATAAAATTGTAGTGTGTAACATTGGTACTGTACTTCATAAATATGGATTAGACTTATTGCAAAAAAAATTTTATAACAAGGGCACGGACGAAGAGTGCATGGATAATCAATATATAACATTGAAAAAAAGCTATTTTAAGCTTGATTGTGTCTATAATATAGTGACATAAAATCAAACCTGTTTCTTCGAATAATTTTGTACATTATGCATACTCTATTTGGGATTATTTACTTATTATATAATATTAGTCAACAAATACTTAAGTGACTAATAATAAAATATTCAATATTGAGCTTAAAAAAAATGGCAAGAGAATGGAACCAACTCTTAGGTCATTTGTATTTTTCAGCATTGAACTACAAAAGCTTGTTCTTTAAGCAGGATGAGGTTATTATGACAAACGAAAAAGAATAAAGGGCCAATTCCCGCCATTTAACGTCCATTTATAATCTTCGTAGGTACTTATTGCCGGATCTAATCAAAATGATTAACGGGTCGACGACTCACTTCGACAGTTATTCTTATGAGAAATATACATTCAAAACAAATGAAAATCATGAAAATTTTTATTTGTTGAGCATTAATTTTAGACATTTTTGATTCTGTTCCTCTAATAAAAGAGTAAAATAATAATTTTCATTCAATTTTGAAATTGGAATGTACTTAAAGTTTGACGAGGTAAAATTGGCTTAGCTGATTGATTGACTCCAAAAACAAAATCTCGTTTTTGAGGGATGATATAATTGAATGTCGTTAAAATAATAAAAGCCAATAAAAAGAATATTAAAGAGTTGAAATCAATGACAATCTAAAACAATATAGGGTGTGTCATCCACAATAGCGTAAACAGTTGAAAGTGCAAAAGTTTAAAGGCGTGGATTTGTGAATATACGTATGAATACGCCATTTTAGTTCACGGAAATACTTCATCACAGTTTAAAATCATTGTTTTTACTCACCACATGTTGATATGCACAGTATTATTGATAAATAAACGTAATTTTTAAACTCCATTGTGAGAATACGCATCACTGCACGATCATCAACAGAAAACTTTGATTTTTTTTTATTCCGTTTGAATGGTTTGTTTGAATGTGAACGAATGAGTAATGAAATGCTGCATAGATAATATTTTGAGAAGTTAAAAAGGTAAGCGTAACTTTCAATTTTAATAAAAACTTTTCAAAATACGTAAAGTTATGAATATTCTATAAATATCTACGAATATACAGAAACACAGTTCAATTTTCGAAAAAATAATAAATAGTTTAAATGAATGAATGTGTTTTTGAATGAAACTCAACAAGATTGATTGATCTTTTTTTTAGGACCGAATGACAGTTGCCATGACCACGCCTCGCTCAGACAATAGAGTAGTTCCAATATAGTACTATTTTTCAAAGATAGATGTCAGTAATATCAAGGTTTGAAATAGTTTTTTTTAAACTAAACTAGATGGCGGTGTTACCACCTGCAGTCTTTAAAAAATAACGCGAAATTAAAACTAGTTTAGTTCTAATTTTACCGAGTTAGTCTTCGTATTCAGGTATGTGCGCATTATATTTTTTATTTGCTATCATTCGTACAAAGATTTATAATTAATAAGGCTTTAAAAAAGGAAGGTTTAATTCAGAACTAAATAATTCCATATGATAGGCACCTACTTATACTGTAGTAAGTATATATTGCAATCATGCAATCTAATTAAATAAAATTTAATCATCCTTGTCAGTGGCCTCAGTCTCATCAGTTTTTTGTTCTGGTTTCGGCAAAGCTGTTTTTAACATGCCATTGCGCAACGGTGCCTTAATAAATGTGTAATTATTTAATACATATAATGCCTTTAGTTATCAAGTTAAAAAAGTCTTTATTTTACAAATCATAATTATAATTATTTTATAAAAAAAAACCTTTAAAAAAAACGACTTTAACCCCATCTGTTTTTGAAATCGGTTAATTAATAAAATAATGCGTGATATTTACGAGACAGATTATCTAATTGTGTGCAATGCAACGTGTCGCGGGTTCGATTCCCGCACGGAACAACTCTTTGTGTGATCCACAGATTGTTGTTCCGGGTCTGGGTGTCATGTATATGTGAACTTGTATGTTTGTAAGCGCACCTACGACACAGGAGAAAATCCTAGTGTGGGGCAACGTTGTTTTTTTTTAAAAAATATTATTGACTAACTCCCTGCAAACTTCGTAGCGCCTACATTTTTTTTCTTACCTTTTGAACCTTCCCTGGACTAACGAATGGTCATTCATTTTTATTATTTACTTATCCTTACTTATAATATTATAAATCGGAAAGTGAGTTTGTTTGTTTGTTCTGCTTTCACGCCGTAACTACTAAACCGATTGCTTTGATTTTTTACAGACGTAAAGTTAGAAGTCCAGATTAAATAATAGGGTACTTTTTATCCCGGAAAAAATTGATATTCCCGAGGGAAAAATAAAAGTATTGGTATAGATGGCGCTGTATGTATTGGTATATGTATGTCACATAGGTAGGCTACTTTTTATACTTTTGTGACGCGAGCGAAGCCGCGGGAAAAAGCTAGTATTATATATATTGTGCATATACGGCATATACCTACTGTTGACGATCATCGTATGACTGAATTTAATTAGTTATATTAAATTATGAACTTGAACTTGACTTGTGATAACATAAACATGTTTACGGCAACATAAATCTGAATCTGAACAGTCCACTACTCAACTATAGGCCTCTTTTATAATATAAAGGGTTTTTCTAAAGGGACAATACCCCCACCCCACCCTTTATTGTCATTGTCATTAAACCCACATAATAAGTACCTGAACATAAATAATTGTCGCGGAGAACCTAACAGGTAACCGGGGCTCCGGCTCGACGTGCAGGAGAAGGAACGGGGTGGTTTTTAGTCAGTAAAAGTCTGACACTCCCTCCCGCCTCACCCAGGCGGGAGCAGTTATTCGATGATTTTCCCCCCTTAAAAAAAAACCCTCCCAAAACCGCTGCAAATCCTGTAAGCCAGAATCTACCTCTACATTAGATACAACCATGAAAACACCGGAACACTGAAGTCCGGCGCGTCCCAGGGACATGAATAACTGTCTTGGTTCCCGCAACGAAGTGAATCAGAAGATATTATAAGATATTATATGGATTCCACTTCCCCCGTTCCATATAAAGGGTTTGCTATGATCGCATTTTAATGGCTTACGCAGACCGTGACGGCATGGCTTTTTTTTGAGAGATGAGAATCACCCAAGGACTTCTCCCGCCTTGGGTAAGCCGAGAGAGAGTGTCAGACTCTTACTGATAAAAAACCACCCTGTTCCTACTCCTGCTCTTCGAGCTGGAGCCCCGGCAACCCGTTAGCCCTTCCGCGCCTCGGTTCGGTCTGGTCTGGCGCGACCTATCCTTGCTCACCATCCGCAGACCCGTGCTTACGGTGGCCGGAGATCGAGGAATTAAATTTTTGGTAACCGGGGCTCCGGCTCGAAGTGCAAGAGTACGAACGGGGTGGTTTTTAGTCAGTAAGAGTCTGACACTCCCTTACCCAGACGGGAAAGTTATTTGATGATTTCCCCCCCTTAAAAAAACATCAATTCAGTAGGTATTCCACGTGGATTAACAAGCATAAACCCGTAGATACTCAGTAGATAGATAACACTATCATTTAATCGAAGAAATGAAATTAATTTGGTACAAAACGTGATGTGATAGTATCGTAAAATTACTCATTAGAGAGCGTCATACATCATTGTTGATATATCAATTATTAATACCACGTGCGAGACTATGATCTGAAAGTTGGTTAATTCCACATAACATGACATCACGCCTTTTGGGAGAGGTGCACTTAAAGCCATTATACAATGTAACATCCACTTTTCACTATTTATGTTTTATAAGTCCCATGTAATAGGGGGTGAGCCTATTGGCATATGTCGGATACATTTCCCGACTCTGTGGTACTATAGACAATTTTGGGAATCACTGCACTCAATAAAACCATGTTTGTACTTGAACTATAAAGATTATCAACAGAAAACGCACTTTTACTGTTATATTATTTATTTTATTTTTAGCTAGAGGTATAGTTATCCCACTGCAGGGCAATGGCCTCCCTACCTTCCTTCTACTCGTTTCTTCTTACAGCTTTCTGTGGCCAATCCTTTTCATAAGCGTTCAGTTCATTCCGCCATCTCCTTCTGGACCTACCGCGCCATCGATTGACGTTGTACTTTTACTGTAGGTACTTAACTAATATTGCAATGTACCATTATCAATTTCAATGCACCAAAACTAATGGCATTTTGCATCATCTTTTTTAAATTAAACTTTGCCCCACACAAGGATTTTCTTCTGTGTCGTGGGGGCGATTACAAACGTAAAATTTCATGTACACATGACACCTAGACCAGGAACAACAATCTGTGGATCACACAAAGAGTTATTCCGTACGGGAATCGAAACCGCGTCACGTTATCCGGCAGACAGTTGCCTAGCCACCGCGCTAACCGTGTAGACAGTCATATATAGTATAGTATAAGACTTTTTTTTTTTTTAAGGGTGGAAAATCATCAAATGACTGCTCCCGCCTGGGTGAGGCGGGAGGGAGTGTCAGACTCTTACTGACTAAAAACCACCCCGTTCCTTCTCCTGCACGTCGAGCCGGAGCCCCGGTTACCCGTTAGGTTCTCCGCGACATAGTATAAGACTAGATGTTCCCCGCGACTTTATCCGCGTAAAATAATGACTTCTAACAGAATTTGCGTTATCTATTAATAGTGTAAGCAATATAAGGACTTTTTTGGTAAATTTTTTACACACATCGCGTTGTATTATCGAAATTCGATATCGTTTTTCATACGATTCCTTTTCTTTTGTCTTTTCAAATATAGCTCATATTCATCAGGGATAATCTAGAATTCCAATGGTGCCTAAAATAATTTTACAAATCGGTCCTGTAGTTTCGGAGCCTATTCAATTCAAACAAAAGAAACAAAGAAGTTTCCTGTTTATAATATTACTGTAGATGTAGACAGAATAAATCCCCCTTTGGCTCTTTCTGAAGTCGATTCAAACAAATAACAAACTTCGGTATAATTATGTATAGGCTTACGTATTAGTAAAGATAATTTTATACATATTACAATCATGGCTACGCGGTTATCGCGCCATGAAAGTGGGCAAAGAGTATAAATAAGAACTAAATAAGATGTGCCATATCTTTGCTTCACTGAAAAACAATGAAGGTATTTTGCCTACATTGATAAGTATACTAGACCTTTTTTTAATGGGACAAGCCCTATAAAAAGCGAAGTGTATTAGAAGTTATTTATTGAGAAAAGCCCGCTACAACCTCCCAAAACCACTGCAACTCCTATAAGCCAGGATCTACAATAGATACACATGAAAACTCCGGAACACTCAAGTCCCAGGGACATGAAGAACTGTCTTACTCCCGCAACGAAATACTATAGTCAACTATTGGGATATTAAAAAACTTACACCCGAATACTGAAAGGCAACTCAATTTTAAATATAGTCTTGTCACCATTCTTTGTAAATCTATTTTGTTAATTTATTTATTTAGAATGTCAGAGATGGTACGATTTATGGTAAATGTCCCACCCACTCCCACGAAGCGCTTCGTATCAAGCTTCCTTGTGCGTTCTGCTAAGGAGTGGAATTCTTTGCTAGAGTCTTCAAGGCCCGAGTGAATAGGTTGCTTATGGGACGACGTGCTCCATCGTAGACCGCATCATTGCTTACCACCAGGTGAGATAGAGGTCATACGTCGGCCCATCAAATATCACTACATAGTATAAAACAAAGTCGCTATCCGCTGTCTGTCCCTATGTATGCTTAGATCTTTAAAACTACGCAACGGATTTTGATGCGGCTTGTTTTAATAGATAGAGTGATTTTTAAGGAATGTTTAGATGTATAATACATGCATATTGCACTCATGCGAAGCCGGGGCGGGTCACTAGTCCTGACTATATAATATTATAAATCGGAAAGTGAGTTTGTTTGTTTGTTCTGCTTTCACGCCGTAACTACTAAACCGATTGCTTTGATTTTTTACAGACGTAAAGTTAGAAGTCCAGATTAAATAATAGGGTAATTTTTATCCCGGAAAAATTGATATTCCCGAGGGAAAAATAAAAGTATTGATATAGATGGCGCTGTGTACATTGGTATAATATGTCACATAGGCTACTTACAAAAGGATAAATTTTGGTGACGCGAGCGAAGCCGCGGGAAAAAGCTAGTAAAAAATAAAAGACATTTCAGTACAACTTATAATAGAGTAATCATGCAGCATTCTGGCGGTGAAGTAGTTCGTCTCGCTTAGACTAACGTGCTATGCACGGTTCTCTGTTTAGGCATAAAAGTCCCAATAATGCGTGTCGCATCTATCCTAGTATTTTATATTACATGTCGATAATATCAGTTATCTACATGTTACATAATGAAATAATATTTACGATAACTTTCGAACCAACACAGTTATTCCTGAAGTGACTTCCATACGATTCATATGTAAGTAGATTTGTTTTATTCTATTTTATTTGTTTTATTAACTAAATTTATTATTATTATCTAGTTATAAATTAAAATTGCTGCGCCCTAACAGGATAATGTACTGAATTAGTTGTATGTTTTACTTCTTATTATATGTAGGTACCTACATTGTGCAATATGAATAAATAAATAAAATAAATATTAGGCATCTCTTTTGAGCACAGAACATATTATAAACCTTCCTTTTTTAGGTATGTTCTGTGGTTTCGAGGATAAAGTTTCGTGTACTTTATTATTTATAAAAAATATAGGTGAGCATAAATTTTTTCATTCATTCATAAATAAGTTCGTGTTAATTCCATTCCATAATTAAAATAAATCTCGCGAATGGATTTTTCTCGGATCGGAACGGACTTTTTGTTACATGAAACAGATTTTTTTCAAAAACGGAACGTATCGTTCGAATTTTCGAATTTTTGATTTAGGTAAGTTATTTATTTCATTTAGATTCTTTTTCTCGTCATTTATGGTAAACTATGTAAACAAGGCAAGGGGTTTCGGTTTCGATACCCGGGTCGGGCGAAGTGCCTAATTCTTTTAATAATTCTCAGTACCTAGTAGCACCACAGAAATATTAAAAGGAAGCACGGAGTCTGGAATAGTGCCCGGTATATGGCAATAGGCTCACCCCCTATTACATGGGACTCATAACATAAATAATGGAAAACTGGGTGTTACTTCTGTGTGCACCTCTGGCTACCCCTTTGGAGATAAAAAGCGTGATGTTATGTTATGTTTTTAAGAAAAGAGGTGATTGAAGTAGGTTTTTTTAAACGTAAGTAAGTAGTTTATGAAAGTTTGTGATTGTACCTAGATATCCCGATGTAAAAATCTATAATTTAGACACATTGTAAACTATGGTTCATAACTGTATCAGTTTTGTTTGTGAATTTATGTATGTAGTGTGCCTACCTAAATTGTACGACTTCTTTTAACTACTTTTTTTTTGTATTCTGTGGAGAATGTCGTTGATTATACATTTATTCTATACTTTCATATTTGTTATAATGTATTATTATAGTGTATAATTGTTAATTTTCCCAAATAAATAAAATAAAATAAAATAAAAATAAAATATCTACTAATACGATTATCTAAAGTTAGTGTTTATAATTATAGTCAGTGGCATGCTTAACTATAAAGTGGCTAGTTAGCAAAATCCCATCGGGCTCCATCACGCCCCGTTCACAGTTATTCATCTAAACTTCTCTGACCTAACGGGTAACCGGGGCTCCGACTCGACGCGCAGGAGAAGGAACGGGGTGGTTTTTAGTCAGTAAGAGTCTGACACTCCCTCCCGCCTCACCTAGGCGGGAGCAGTCATTCGATGATTTTCCCCCTTAAAAAAAACTTCTCTGTTTTCTATTACAAATGGGGTCCCATCCGATGAATTTGCCATGGGCCCCGAACAGTTCGGTTAGACCATTAAAGCACTCACCTATAAATAGACTTATAATCTGTAGGTACTCTATACAATCTCTATTTACTCAATTCCAACCTGAAACTAGGACAAACAAACAAACACTCACATCGTTACATTATTCACATAATACAGTTATAAAACATTTTACCTTCATATCGTAAATTACGTAATTATTATACCGAGTCATTATGACTTTAAATTATCAACAGTTTATACCTAATCTGAAGTAAATACTCAAATTGTAATATTATTACGTTTTACAGTACCCGGCTTTAAATAATGCACATCACAAACATAAGTGTGGGAGAGCCATGCTTCGGTACAAATGGGCCGACCGGAGTGAACCACGGCCGAGCAGAAAACCGACGTGAAACAACGCTTGCGTTGTGTTTCGTCGTGTGAGTGAGGTTATCGGAGGTTCAATTACCCCTAGGGTTGCCACCTTTTATTTTGGTATTTAAAGTACATTGACGATTATAGGTAAGAAAAAAAAAGTACACAGTACAAAAATAAAGTACAACTTATTCTTATTTAGTATTATATTTAAAAATATATTTTTATTGCTTTTTGCAGTTTGTATTAAATTAGTATCTTTACTAAACAATTGCATCTTTACTAGAAATTGTCTAAGTGGCGCTGGCGAGTGGCGAAATCGATTCAACAACATAAATAGATAAATATCGATATGGAATCGATAAGTTTACCGACAAATACTTACGACTTTAATAGAAATGAAGTTTGCAAAAATAAAGTATTTTCGTGTACTCTATTATTCTTATAAAGTATAGAGTACAATTACCTTAAATAACGTACAATACTTTATTATAAAGTACGGGTGGCAACCCTAATTACCCCTCTCCCCGGATCTCCAATGCGGAGCCGAATGCTTACCATCAGGTGATCCGACTGCTCGTTTACCGGCTTATGCTATAAAAAAAAATATTTTTGATTAAGGAAATTACCCAATTGGTCGATTGTCTCTTTACATGTGGATGTGCAATATTTATTGACAGGTACTGTAAACTGTAAAAAAGTTGTTATAAGTGTAATAAATACGTGTGGTACTTAGATAAGCTTTAGATTATTATGTAGTCTAAGGTTTATATAATTAACTCATATCTCGTTGCCGGGGAGTCCCAGAGAGGTAGGCAGAGGGGTGACTTTAATAAAACTCAAAATATACATACATACATACATACATT